CGAACCAGCACGTTCGGTTCGATCCCGAACCAGCGTCGAAGACTCGCGCGAACGACAGCGTCTGGGCCTGGCCGTGGCCCGAAGACTCGGATCGAGCATGTTCAATCCATCGGAAGACCCATCCACGGTGGTTTTCACTCACTCCACATTCTATGAGAATTGGTCGGAAAACATGGGCCAGAGGTCGTGAGGAGCCCAAAGTGGGTTCACAACCACAGCAGTTCGCCAGAATCATGAGCTCATCTTGAGTGTTGAGTGTGTCTTCAGGAGTTGCTTCTTCCGTCTCACCTAGTCCACCTGATGGTTTCGGCTTCACAAAAAGAATTCGGCGAAAAAACGACCGGACGAGCCGGAAGATCTGGATCTCATCCCCTCGCCTCCCCTCGCTCCCGAGGACCATGCCGGACGAGGAGGCGCCGACCGAGGAGGCCGTTCCGGAGCGGGTGAGTCGGGGTGAATCGGGGGGGGCCCAGGCACAAGCGCCATGTGAAACAACACAAAACAGTAGACTGTAGTGACTACACAGAACCAACATGATTTGACAGAACTATATAAACTGATTGCGGTTGATAGAACGGTGCTATTGCTGTTGCTATATTGAACTAAACTCACAACCGCAATGCAAACAGCGATGACATTTGCAACAGTCGCCAGTGTAACAGTCGCCAGACTGAGCCGAGCCTTGTTGGGTTGCAAGCGCCCTGTCAGGTGTCAGGGCAAGAGCCCATGGAGGATGCAGGAGCCGAGCTGCGTCGTTTTGGGCACCAGGGGTCTTTGCCAGCGTGTCGCGTTGCAAACGGGTGGAGAACGGGTTGACCGACACACACACAGCACCGCCTCTGGTGCGAACGAGAGCCAAACGGGTGGCGAGATTCTCGTTCATTGAGCCGAAGAAGGTCCGAGCAGAAGAGGGACGCAATGGGATGCGACAGAAGAGTAGGTCAATTTGAGGCCAGCGAGTGACCCAACTCCGAACTGGAGCTTCAAAACGGATATGAAAAGAGGAAGAAAGTGAATCCAAACATGAACCGAACCGGTTCAAAAACCAGAGGCGTTGGTGCAAACTGTGCATGATCGCTTGGAGTTATTGGTCCTTCCTTTGGAGAACCGCCACGAAGAAGTCATGGGACAGTCCCGGAATTTCGAAGGCTGTCGAATCGCCCGGAATTGGATCAGGAACTTGGCATGTGTCAAGGAATTTGGAATTCCAAGGTCCACAAAGTGCTATTGTTTTCAAAATTATATTTCAAGTTTCTTTGATCTGAGTGCTCAGCAACATAGAACTCATGAGGATTCAAGGACCGGCTTTCCATCTTCTGCCAATGGCGAAAATGAAACCGAAGGAGCTGAAGATGATGCTGAGGTAGAAGGCCAGTGAGCAAAGTGGGCGCAAGTGGCTGCTTTCCTCTTTTTCTTGTATACCTTTTGTTTTGGCGGGGTAGGCCGTAGAGGTAGTAGCTAGGTAGCTAGTAGAAGAAGGTAAGTAGCTTGCAGCTTAAGTAGCTACTACTTAGGACGCAGGATAGCTCGCGCTTCTTCAATTTGAAGCTTCCCCGCCGCCCTAAAAAGCTTCCTTGAGGAAGCGCTCGCACTAATGATTTGGTTCCTAGAGTTTTAGGGAAACTTAACATCAAGTGGCTGCACACACCTTCAGAGCTTTTCTAGACAAGCTAGACGTTGACCGTGGCCAACCCCTGAAACGAGGAACCAAACCACCCGTCGTCCATGTCAACCGCCTGCGGTTGGATTTCATGCCCGTCTAGGTGAAGACTCCAAGGAGGAGGCGAAGGAGGGGGAAGATGCAAAGGAAGGTGGAAAGCTGAGTTGCATCGGTGTTGTGAAGAAGATGTTCGTGCAAGATATGAATTGACATGCACAAACTAGCGGAATCATGCTGAATCTAGCTGATGCTAGTAATGCTATGAATACGCAGTAACACTGCCAGCATCATGTCACCATTTGTTAGATACATGTTCATAACCTCGTCTGAGGCATTGAAGTTGTGTATATACAGTCTATCGCATTGTTTTCTTCCATTGATCAGAGCTCCAAGGGTAGTTTGAGCCTTCCGTCTAGCTGATTGATTCTGTGCAGGGGAAGACGGGAAAAAGAAGAAGAAGGAGAAGAAGGTGCAGTGTGCAGTCCACTACACACAGTGCATTAATATATCTCATGCGACACGATTCGATTGGAGCAAGTACGTAGGATCATCGTGCCACATCTCACACATCGTACGCCCATCAAACGCCATGACTTTGGTCAGGCGTAGCTGCCATGAACGGACCATTTGGGACCGAGTTTGAGGTTCACCCTGGAAGAGACCCATATGGAATCTGAAAACTGGTTGCAGAGGAACATCGTCTTCCAGTCTGGTCCATGCCATCAGGTTCCATGTGGGTCTCTTCCCGGGTGTATATCTTTTTCTCTCAGTGGTCTTTGCAGGGGGTCTTTCTGTTATAAGGCGCACCCACATCATTCGGGAGGAATTCATACGTTGCTCTTCCAGCGTGAATACCTTGGCAGTGTCTCCCATACCCCTGGCTTTATCACTTTGTCTGCGTAGAGTGACGTGTCTGCCCTGACCTGACCAACCGTGTTTGAACCTTGAGCGATGCCAAGAGAGTCGCAGTGTCGCGAGCACGGGAAACACGGACCAATGGTTCTCCCGGTGGCAAGACGCTTAACATGTGGATTCTTCTTCAGCCAATAGGTGTTGGGGCCGTAGGGGGATAATGACAAGCGATATGTGGCAAATCCCCCTGGAACCAGATGAGACCCAGCAAGTGCTTCCTTTCTTCAGCCGCTTCTCAGTCTTCCCTCCTCGTGGCGTTGGTGCGCACAGGAGAAGAAGGCCAAAGTCGTCAAAGACGAAAAGATGGGCCAGGTGAAGAATGAGGAGAATCGCTGCCGATCAACTTAGGTCGTTTGCCCACATGTAAAATATTGACTTGCAAAACGGTCATTTGTATACAAGAGGAGATCGTGTTTGATCACTGACTGACCAACTTTCAAACAAGACCATCTAAACAAGTGCTCCATGTCCTTCATTCCACCGTTTTCGGATTTCGTTTGCCTACTAGCCACAAACAGATCCAGCAATGCTTCACATTGGAGACCCCCAAATGGGGTCTGCGGTGAGACCGTCGCATCACCGTAGCCCGTGGCTCAGTCGCATCACCGTGCGGCGGGGGCAGGGCAGGGCCAACCAGGGTCGGATGTCGAGCCGCTCTAGGACTTGGATTGGATTTGGATTGGTGGTGCAGATGTGTCTCCGATGGCAAGGGATCGAGCGGAGCTGACGGATCGTGCGGAGCCGATGGGATTTGGTGTCCAAGGGCAGATGTCCCCGCCATGCCTTTTGAAACCATCTCCAGCTTCCAAGTGTATCAGCTTCATTTGCAAACTGTCCCAGTCCGCCCAGTGCATGCCGTCCTCTTTCATTCCACCGCCCGTTTTTCGGCTCTCAGTCCGTCGTCCTCCCCTCGCAGACCTGCACATCGTGCACCGTGCGGTCTGCGTTCGAACCGAGGACGCCAAAGACCGCGAGGCGCTGGAAAAGGCGAAGATTCGGTCGCTTGGACCCGACGCCCGCCGTCGCGTGTCGACAGAGATGCGACCGCGTGTCGGGTGTGCGGGGTGCGGCGCGATTCGGGGAGTCCGAGCGAGAATTCTCTGACCGGAGTCGAGTGGCTTTGCGAAGAAGTGGAATGGAAGGGTGGGCCAGGGAAAAAAGAACGAGTGGATTTCCACGGGTGGAGGCCAGGGGGGAGATGTTTGTTTCAGTGACGTCTCGAGATGGGAAAATCAAGTCCTGATGCAGTCCTGTAACATACTATCTTAGCAAACATCGGATACTATTTTTTTTGGGGGGTCGATCTTCCTCCCCCCAAAAAGGGATCTCGTTAGAGATGGACCATGCCATGGAGAACAACCTCCTTTTGGGGGATTGAACAAAACACCTCCTCTATGGGGGGAGGTGCATTACTTCAGAGTCTACATTCGTTTGGGACCCCCGGAGACGACGACCGTGGCGTAGAAAGGTCCGGGACCTGGCGGTGAGGAGCATTTTTGGACACGGAGCCCACTCCATGGGACTGGCACATCTGGCAAGCTGAATGGATTTGAACCACCAAAGTGAGTTGAACTCTATGAAAGGGACTGGCAAAATGAGTTGCACCTCCATTTTGGACCACCAACCACCCACCTTTTGTTGGTCAAACTTCAAAACCGAGGGTCGTGTATCTGGACACGGGTCGTGCTCCGTGTGCCATACATGGAGTCGAACATGGACACGGTGAAGCACCGACAGATCGGACCGAGGAGCTCCGACCGTCGGACCGGAGCCGTGACCGTGACCGTCCGACGACCTCGCAATGTGAGGACATGTCTGCATCCTTAGGATGACGCAGGAGAGACCCTTTGATCATCCAGAGTGTCTTCTTGAGAAGTCTTGGAAGACATCGCGAAGGCGATCAGCCAGCGAAGAGAAGTGTGAGATGTGTTTTTCATGATCCACCAGACTGACCCCAGTCCCCAGTGCCAGCTGCCAGCCATTTCACGCTCATTTTACATCCGAAATATACAGGTTGTGCTTGCATCATGGCCCACTTCAGCAGCATTCCTTGTCTGGCCTTGTTCGGGCTGCTGCTTTCTTCGACCACGAATGCCATCAATGCTAGCTGTGAGCCGGAGCAGTTCTCTGTGCTGCAGGCCGAAAAGTGACTCATGTCGGCATGTCCGCAGCCAGCATGACCAAACATGAAACACTAATTTATATATATATATATAGTTTTTTCCCGAATGCGTAGCGAAGGGTTCTCGTTTAACTCTGGGGGTCTGGGGGTAGAGTCTTGTTCGCGATCCGTTGTTTCTATGTTCGCAACCGTCCGCAACCGTTCGCAACCGTCCGCAACCGTTCGCAGTAGGACGCTAAGGCGCTGCCATTGGGGGAAGCTTTTGCAAGTGACTTTTCATGGATGTGTCACGTGTCAGTTTGCGACGCTATTCCATTGTGATTTGCATGAAAATGACATGTCGCGCAAGAAGCGTGATGGATTTCGCTGCACAGGCGCAGTGGTTTGAGAGATCCGCAGTTTACTGCGCAGTTCCATTGGGATTAGCGTTTGGAGAGTCGTGTTTTTGGGGTGTTGGATGTGGCCGTGCCATTGGGATTTGCATTTCAGGGTGTGGCATCGAAGCTCTGTTTTCGTGACAAGTCTCAGCTGAAATGGCGATTTTGGTGGGTGGGAGTGTGCTCAGAACGGGTCGAAATCATTCTAAACGTGTGGTGTGGTGCAAATTTTGTTGAAGCTCATGTGAGATGATATTCTCACTTTTCGTGGCAGGCACAGTACTTTGTGCTGATTTTGAGGTGTGGAAGTGCGATTTTCGTGGCAGGCGCAGGAAATCGTGAGGTTGCGAGGTGTGACGGAGTTGACATTTCGTGGCAGGCGCAGTACTTTGTGCGCGTTAGACGTGTGGATGCGGAAAGATTCGTGGCAGGCGCAGGGAATCGCGAGGTCGTGAGTTATGGTAGAGGTGAATGTCGCTGTCACATTGGGATTGGCGTGTGAGCGGGTGTCGTTTGAAGGGGCTGGAATCGCGAAATTGCTAGGCAGGGCTGCGTGATGTGTGTGCTCCGATGGGTGTTTCCGCTGGACTTTTGGAGGAAGTCTCGTACGAAACGCTCGTTTTGGAGACTTGACGTGTGACTTTTGGAGGAAGTCTCGT